TTTTTTTTTTTTTTTTTTTTTGAATTTCGACCGTTGAACCCGGAACCCGGCCCGGCCCGCCGGGTCCAACGGTCGGCCCTGTTAAATTTTTATTTTTTTTGAATTCTGAGTCTTGAACCCGTAACCCGGCCCGACCCTCCGGGTCCAACGGTCGGCCCGGCCCGCCGGGTTTTTTTTTTGACCGAAAAGGCCCGGGACCGGCCCTTTAGATGTCCGGTTCCGGTTTGAAAACCGGCTTCTCCGGGCCGGGTCCGGTTCGGGCCGGGCCGGGTCCGGTCTGGGTCCGGGCCGTGTTCGGTCCGGTTCGGGCCGGGTTCGGTCCGGGTCCGGGCCGGTTCGACCCGTGGACATGTCTACTTTCCATTAAAAGGTAGGTATTGTTTTTGATTGATTTAACCATTTTCGATATACTCTTTTCATAAATATGCAAGACGCAACCTAACCAACCTGTTTTAAGCAAAAAAACCCGACCCGAAACACCTCAAAACCCCTTTTTCGATTCGGGAACGACGACACTCTGCTAGCTAGTCCACCCCCATACTGATTTTCTCTCTTCCTTTCAGTAGTTCCTTGATAACTGACCCACAGTTCGAAACCCTATAAGTTATTTTTCGTGAATTTGAAATAAATGGAGAATCTTGGCCTTGTCTCGTCGCATAGAGTTGTACTCGGGGTCTACCCTAATCCCAGGAGCTCGATAATTCCTGGCAAACCATTTGTGGGTCTTCCGAGATTGATCAGGAAAAGCGGCAACAATGGCGGGCCGAAAAGACCCGGTTCTTCATTTGTGGTTCTTTCGCTGTTTGGAGGGTCTAAACCCACCAAAACTATTGGTAACTTATTCTTATCTTCCTCTGTTGTTTTCATCGTTTTATGCTTTTGTAACGAATGTGCACCCTTATCTACATATACGTTTTTGTTTTGTCTGTACTTTCAACTTCGAATTTGGTGTATTTGTGAGATAGCTGAGAGGATATGCTGAAAAAGGTTGAATCTTTGTTTAAATGCTGCATGAGTTCAATTCTGGAAAATTACGGATTCGGGAAATATAGGGCTCCCTTCAAGTTTGTTACTTTGGTCCTAACAGAAATTCTTGGAAGCATGTTGATATGCTGTCGCCATTAGTTATGTTTCTATACTTAGGAATATATAGAATCAATGATACATTATTACATTGTCTCCTGTAGAGATGCAAGTGTTCCTTACACGAAAACCTATTGTTTCAGATTAAATAAGAGCTTATTCTTAATTGTAAAGTCCACGTGATTCTAATCCTGTCGACTTACCAAAAGTTGCAACCTGGAAAAGGGACTGAGCGTGGTCCTTGATTATTAAAGTTTAGCATTTGATGTGAGTAAAAATAACTTAATAGAACCTTTCTGGCACTTGCTTCAATGGCTGATTTGTTGTTTTTGTATCTGTTGCTGCCTCTGTTTTGTCTTCTTAATGCATGCTCTTTTACTTGTATTGATTCTGTTCTTCCATCCATTTGAATTCTTTTTCAGTGCAGGAGAAAGTAAAAAATGATTCTTTTTCTAGCACGTATTCGCAAGGCAAAGAGATGTCCTCAGTTGGTGTGAGCCCACAGTTTCCAGTACCACCTCCTTCTTCACAAGTGTAATCATCTAGACGTGCTTCATTTTCCTCCCTTCCTT